TTAATTAATTAATTGATTAAAATAAAAATAAAAATGGCAGCATCACCAGGTTTCACAAAATTCAGGCCATCTTCCAGTCTTTTCTCAGAACCATGGTCAATCTTCTCCTTCAGCTCAGCAAATTTGCAAGCAACGTGAGGTAGATGACAGTCCAGCACAGGTGCATGTCCAACACTGACTTGGCCTGGATGCTTCATGATAATCACCTGAGCCAGGAAGCCAGCTGCTCTCATTGGTGGGTCATTTTTGCTGTCTCCAGCCACATTGCCATGGCAAACATCTTTGACAGACAGGCTCTTGACGTTGAAGCCCACATTGGCCCCAGGAAGAGCTTCACTCATAGCTTCATGGTACATTTCAACAGCCTTTACTTCAGTTGTAACACTGACTGAAGCAAAGGTGACCACCATGCAGGGTTTGAGAACGCCAGTCTCCACTTGGCCCACAGCGACGGTACCAATGCCACCAATTTTGTAGAAGTCCTGGATGGGTGGACACAGGGGCTTGTCACTTGAGTAAATCGGTGGCAGGATGTAATCCAGAGCTTCACACAATGTGGTTACACTGGCATTGCCATCTTTATAGGTGACCTTCCATCCCTTGAACCAAGGCATGTTAGCATTGTCACCATTTCAACTAAAAATTGGCACAAATGCTACTGTGTCAGGTTTGTAGCCAATTTTATTTTTTAATAATTTGTAAAAATGTTTTTACTGATTATAGAGAGAGAAGGGACTGGAGAGAGAAAGAGAGGAACATTGATGTGAGAAAGAAACATTGATTGGTTGCCTCCTGTATGCACCCTGACTGGGGATCAAATCTACAACTCTTGGGGTAATGCTCCAACCAATTGAGCCATCTGGCCAGGGCTAAAAGCCTCACTATTTTAAATGTTATAATAATGGATATGAAGTCAGGATTTTTCATAAGACATGAAAAAGAGTATCATTAATAATAATAAAGTCAAATTTTCATATTTCGGATAGAAATTAGATTGCTTTCACTCTCAGAGAAGCACTTTATAGGTGTTCTCATAGGCAAAAAGAGTGTTTCCCTATCTGAAATTGTACCATGGCAGTCTAGTCCTTTAATTTATGTGCTTTATAGATTATTTGAACAACAGCTGGGTGGGAAGAGGGGAATTATAGGAAGGCACAGCCTTCTTTCCTTATTATTGGCTTTTCATGCACATGTAAGCTATCACCCCATGTCTGTCCCTGATCCAGAAATTGGAGAGACATTTTATTTTTATTTATTTTTTAAGGATTTTACTTACTTTTAGAGAGATGGAAAGGGAGGAAGAAACAGAGTGAGAGAAACATCGATGCATAAGAGATACATCCACTGTTTGCCTCCCTCATACCCCCAGTCGGGGACCTGGTCCACAGCCCGGACACATGCCCTTATTGGGAATAGAACTGGTGACCCACTTCACAGGCCAGCACTCAATCCACTGAGCCACACCAGCCAGGGTGAAAGACATTTTACTTTTAAATGTTCTCTCTTTTCATGGAGAATAAGCTAGATGCATGGCCATTTTGCCCATCATAACATAATTGAAATAGAAACTCTTCCATAACAGTGGACATTTATTTTCACAAATCCTTCTAGTTATAAGATCTACAGTACTTAATGAACTGCCAAACTAAACATATTTTAAATAAATAATAAATGGGGAAGCCACAGAAAGAATCCAGGTACTGAAAACCACTTTCTATTTAAAGCCTCCTCTCCCCAGGCTGGAGTGCAAAGAAAGTGGGATGGGGCTTGATGAGAGGAAAATGAAAACTGTGATATGTAGAGGTCATCTCTCCCTAGGAACTGAGGAGGAGTGACCACAAAGAAGCAACTTGGTTTCCTCTGGAAGGGAGAACAGTACACTCTGAAAGATGCAGGAATCACATCCTTATGTAACCTTCATGGTTAGCCTGGGGGTGAATAATGGGTGATCACAAAATTAATCAGGTTGTGACTTGAATTGAAGCTATTCTGGTTGATGTTTTTTTCCTAGGTCAAATCAGCACAGACCCTGGCACCTGGTAAGTGGCTATTTTTCTGACAAATGATCTTTTCTCTCTTAGTCAGCAGATACTATCTGAAGCAGCTTGCTTTCATCTGGAAGGAACAGAAGTCTGACTTTAGAACCTTATCTAAGAGCTATGCCTATCCTCTGGCTTATTGTCATAATCCAGGGGGAGTGGAGCTTGATTGCTGATATAACCATGGTGAACATTGCTGGTTTATTACAATGAAGGCATTTTACTTACTGGACTTGGCGAGCAACAGATAGCATAGATCCTTTATTAAGACACATGTATGCCAGAGGATGGGAGATAAAACCCACAAAAACTCAAGAGTATGACCCTCAATGATGTTTTGAGATGGTCTGGACCATGTCAGGTATTCAACAAGTTGCTGTACCTCATACCACCTACTACTCAGAAAGAGGTACGGCACTTGGTAGGGCTCTTCAGATTCTGCAGGCAACATATCATACACTTAATTATGTCACACCAATGCATGTGGCAAGTGATCTGTAAGGTTGCATGTTTTCAGTGTGACCCAGGGTAAAGAAAGGCTCTGCAGCAGGTCCAGGACACTTGACCTTTATGGTCATGCAGATCTAACATGCACAGAGCCCCCTGACACCATGGGAGGCTACATGGAATCTCTGGCAAGTTCCAATAGGAGAAACATACAGCGGGCAACTAGAGTTCTGAAGCAAAAGAAGTATCAATATTTTCCTTTGCCCCTGGCTGGTGTAGCTCAGTGGATTGAGTGCGGGCTGCGAACCAAAGTGTCGCAGGTTCGATTCCCAGTCAGGGTACATGCCTGGGTTGCAGGCCATGACCCCCAGCAACTGCACATTGACGTTTCTCTCTCTCTCTTTCTCCCTCCCTTTCCTCTCTAAAAAATAATAACAAATAAAATCTTTAAAAATATATTTTCCTTTAGACTAGCAGCTTCTGGCTGGCTCCTGGGCTATGGTCAAGTCTGAATGTCTGAATATGGGGCACCAAGGTGTTGTGTAATTTCAGCTACTCCTGATAAATTGAGTGCTAATTGATCACCCTCTGCAAGTGGAATATTTGAGACCAGACTCAAGCAGGTCTGGAAGATACAGCAAAGTTGCTCAAGCAAGTGGCTCACATGTTTGTGTCCCTACCGCTGCATGACACCCTTTCCTTTGACTCACACCTGTAACATCATAGGGTTTCATGACTAAGTATATTGGTCAAGGTCCCAGAAGGAAGCAAATGGTAGACTCAGTGGGTTGAACTGAGGAGAGTGTTATGAGGGGATTTTATTTTTTCAGAGATGAGAGCAAGCTTAAGGGAATTAGTAATGAGTGGTGAGGCTCCCAGGGGCTGGCATCAATTGATATGGTCACAGCCACTGCCACTGTCTTTGCCATGCACTCAACCTGCCCACAGCAGAGACCAACACTGAGCCCCCCATAAAGTAGCATTCCCTGGTGGGCCAGCCAGTGTGACAGATTGATGAAATCAGACCACATTTGTCTGTAGGGGACAGCAATTTTTCCTCACTTGAACAGGCACTTACTGTAATCCACATTTCTGCCAGCATTCCCACCCATAGACTTACTGCACCTTATTCACTGCCACAGTATCTCACATAATAGTGCTTCCAACCAAGAAATCATTATAAAACAAAAGACACGAGTGAGTGTGCTCATGCTGAGGGACTGCACTAGCCTTACCATGAACCTCATTGCCCTGAAACACCTGGCCTGATAGGATGGTGGAGTGGTCCATTTATTAAAGACTCAGTTACTGCACTAGTCAGGTAAAAAAATACACTGAAAGGTGGAGTTTCTGTCTTACAGTATGAGGTAAACACTTTGAACTGATGACTACTATACGGTGCTGATTTTGCATAGCCAGAATCAATGGGTCCAGGAATTAAGAGGTGAAAGTGGATGTGACTCGTCTCACTGTCATATCTAATAATCCACCCTCAAGGTGTCTCTTCCCATCCCACAACTTTGAGCTCCCGTGGTTCCCAAGGTAGGAATGTTTCTACGACAGCTGCAACATTGGTTCTATCAAATTGTAGATTGAGATTGCCATCTGGCCATTTAGGGTTCTTTGTTCAACCAACAGGCAAACCACGAGGCTACTGAGCTGGCTTGGATGGGGGATTATCATATGGAAAGTGGATTGCTGGTAAACAAGAAGATTAGGACTGTGAATGGAATCCAAAAAATCCTCTGGGGCACCTCCCATTACTACCACCTGGCAGGACTCCTGAGGATTCAGACTTGATGGGAGTAAATATTTGGGTCATGCACCAGGTGAATTGTGACCATCTGAGATCCTGGCTGGAGAGCAAAGGGAGAACAGGGAGGGTGGTGGAAGAAGGAAGTTATAAAGACCAATTATAGTCTCAAGACCAGTTATAGATATAAGGACTGTGGTACACTTGTGTGTGTGCATGTATAAACTTCTCTGATCTTCCTTGTCTCTATATCTTATACACGTCAAATAAAGGTTGTAGAGGTTATAGGATATAAAACCCCTAGAGATGGCTGCAATGACTGATGGAGCTTTTGGTCCCGTTTTAAGGAGTGCCTTTTAAAGTAGGTTTTTCCATCTGAACCTCTTAGGCAGGAGCGGGGGGAGGGTCAAGGATTCCTCCTGAGTCTTTTGCTTCTTAACAATAAGCTTAAAATCAGTATCCCAAAAGGCCTATTTGGGGGTAACAAAACTTCAGTCCCCCTAAGAACCATTTGTCTGCAAACAATCAAGTGGAACAGGGAGGTCAAAGAGGAGGCAATGCTTTTCTTACTGCCTAACTATATACACGGCAGGTGCAGATAACAAGTTTGGGCTTTCGGTACCCAGGACCAGCCCTTTTGACGTGACTGGACACGGGTGGGGGTGAAGGCAACGGGGGACAGTTCCGTACTGCACTGCACTCTGTATAGGTCACGGGGCTCCTTCCGCGCGCTCTCTCGTGGTGCGTCTAGTGGCCACTCGGCCGGGCTCTTGTTCGAAGGGGCTTCCCGATTTTTGCTGCCTGCTTCCCCCCCGCGGTCTCTCGCCGCGGGCGGTGGCGCCCGTCCCCTCCCAGGGGGGCGCGGCGGCCGGAGGCGGGGGTCGTGGCGGCCGCACGGGGCGGCGCTGGGAGGGCGGGCGCTGGGCCCGCCCCGTCGGCATCCCTGGCCCGACTTCCTCCGGCCGCGGCCGGCCGACCCAGCTGGAGGAAGCGGCGGCGGCGGCGGCCACGATGAGTTCGGGGGACGCTGTGTGCACCGGCTGGCTCGTCAAGTCTCCACCCGAGAGGAAACTGCAGCGCTACGTGAGTAGGGGCGCCGCCCGCTCGCCCTCTCGTTCTCGTGTCCCCATCCGCGAGGTAGCCACGGGGAACCCCGGGGTTCTATGCACCCCCAAAGCAGCCGCTCCCAGCGCTCCGGGCTGCAGGCAAGGCCGATCCACCGAAAGCGAAATCGCACGTCGAGCCAATGTCCAGCAGGCGGGCAGGGGCCCGGTGACTCTTGGCTTGCGGGGCTCCGCGGCTCCAGACCGCCGCTCACCCTATCACCCTAGAAGAGGAAGGCGGGTTGGGGCTGAGGCACCAGGCACCATTCTCGGTGCAGAAGCGCAAGGAGACATCTCTAATGCCTTGTCTCTGGAGAGGGGTGCCCCTGAGTTCCATTGCCCGGCAAGGAGAACAGGGTAGGGGTTAGAAAGAAGCACAGAGGAACGGGGCCTGCATTCCACTTGGACCGTAAGGAATACTCTTTCTTGTAACTGTCATCGGACACTCCTATCTGGAACCTTCCACAGAGTATAACTCGTTTCTCATGCTGTCTCTTCTCAGCTTTTTCTTTATGCTGACACGTTGCTTTTTTTCTAGTACCAGCAGGAACCGCGGACTTTTGCTAGTATGAAATAAGGGACACAGGGAAGAGCACATCTTCCTACATATTGCATTGCCATTTTAAATGCGCTGCCCACAGCTCAAACGTTCATTATCTCCATCAGCACCCTCAGTAAGGTCTAAAAAAACATTCCACTTGAAGACTTGATTGCTACTGAGTGTTCTTCATCCATTAGGAAGAACCACTTCAGCCCTTAGGGATTTGCATATAAATAGATATTAGGGCTTCTTGCTTTTTTTAGGCTGGGAGTAGCTTGATGGATTCATCTTGTTAATAATTCCCAATTTCTCTGCAACTCCAGAGCAGGGTGCTAGCAACAAACACACTCATGTCTGCTCTGCTCCACAAAAGCCCACCCACAAATCTCTTGTTTATGGCACGCTCCCAAACTGGTGTCCGAGTTTCAGCCAATTTCAGCACTGTTTTGGTTCCTACATTTATGAGGCACATACTGTGTGGAAGTGGAGGAGGTGGGATTCTAAGAAAACTTGAAGCATGTATGTATGCTTCCAGAATGTGAGACAGCAGCCTTTCCTGAGCATACAACTGCTTGGGGTCCCCATTCCCACTGATCCTAGGCTAGACAGTATCACTCTTAGGAATCTTTGGGAAGGTTTTTTTTGATGTTTGTTCTGCTGAGCAACATTTTACAGGAACGCTGTTCTACTTATCATATAGGTGTCACAAATCTATACATACCAAGATTTTTCACATTAAGTACCAGTGTGTTCCTTCATCATTTTTGTTTTGAGTCCCCAAGTCTATAAACACGAGGTCCAATATTTCTCAGCCTCTGAATCACCCAGCTGCTTCCCTAAAAAACACTGAAGCCGTTTTGAAGACTCATTCATATTCAAATGAAGCAAGAGACAAAAGCGTACTCCCCAGGACCTTCCTGAGCAGGTGAGGGTTTGTCTCAGCATGGTGCTTAGGGGCCAGCCCAAGGTGTGCTATTCCTTGTTTCCCTTTGGAATGTGAGACATTTTAAAGGTTCACTAGATATTTTCTGAGTGTCACTCATTCTTCAATAGATAACTCAGAAAGATGGTGAACCTGGAGGGCAAAGTTTATGGAAGATTTTTTTCCAGTCCTGTTTTGTGTCTTGTCCTGACCACACTGGCTTAGGGAAAAAGTTTTTTAGTATTTTGTCAACATTGGGAAAGCATGAGTGTATATACCTATTATTAGATGTGTTTCATTCTTTTTGGGTGCAGTGGAGGTGTGGCAAGTATGGACTTTGCACAGCTTATAGGTAGGTAGGTGTTTGTGATAGTGGGGTGGTGATAGAGGAGACTTCACATATGAGTTATCTAGATTGACATCTTATCAATACTCCAATACATGAACATTGCCCTTTTAGCTCATGATTGGGCTTTTTTTTTTTCTATTTACGGTCAATGCCGTTTGGTTGAAAGGTGTCTGGAACACACCTAAGACTCCCCTTTCTCTCATCTCTAAATTCTGTAGGAATCCCTTGTTGCCACTAGATGGCGACGGTGTGTCAGTTCAATGGGGCAAGGACAGCACTATTATTCACAGCCAACTTTAATTAAGATCTTGTCATGTCCTCCCTTTGAGTGCCAACTCTGAACCAGGCCCTGTGTCACCAGCTAGAGATACAGAGCAAAAAAGATTTGATCCCTGACTTCAATAACTCCACAGTCTTAACATTTGTAGCACAATAACATAACAAAGCAAGTTTGTCACACAAAGGGCAGTAACTCAGTTCTTTGTGCTGCCAGGTCAACAAGCAGCACTCCTTTAATGTTTGTTAAATTACAAATGGAACCTCAGTTTGTTTTCAGTGAAGTCTTTCAGTCCAAGGTAAGCTTGTCCTTCATCCTCTTGACTCCATGAGCCAAGGCAATCAGTAAGTTATTTTTATCACTGCTCTTTGAAAAGATGGTTAATTCTTTTCCTTTATGTTTCTTGTTTCACAAGTAATATTGGGACATATTCTTGTAAAAATTCAAACAATCGAGGAATAAATTGAATAAAAAGTGAAAGACCCTCTTTAATTTTCCTCTACATCCTACCTTTTCCGTGCACCCCTCCTGACTCCACTCCACTCCCTAGGGATAACAACTGTTAGCAGTTTGGTGAGTATCATCCTAGAAAAATTTCTACAAAAGACATAATTTTCTTTTTGCACACATGAGATCATACTATAAAATTGTCCTACAATTTTCTTTTTGCACAATCCTGGACATCTGGTTAGTGCATATAGATTCACTTCATTCTGCTAAACCATTGCCTAATATTCCTTGTAATAGATGTAACATAATTTAACAATTTGCCTATTAATGAACATTTGCCTTGCTTTATTTTCTCAATTTTAAAGAATGCTGTAACACCAATGATAATAAAATTATAATAACTTAAATTTGTTGAACGGTTGTATGTGCCAGGCCCTGTGCTTCTGTTATCCTTTGAGTCTTCAAAGCAACACTAAGAGCCCAGGTACTGTTTTTATCTCTGCATGTAAGTTCTTTGTTGGGTGTATAATTTGCAAATATTTTCTACCAGTGTATAGGGGTTTTTTTTTTCATTCTATTTACGATATCTTTTCTAGAACAAGGATTTCAAATTTTTGATTAAGTCCAATTTATCTATTTTTCTTTTATGAATTATACTTTTAGTGTCAAATTTAAGGATGCTTCACCTAGCCCTAGACACTAAAGATTTTCTCCTATGTTTTTTTCCTAAAAGTTTTGTGTTTTATATTTAGATCAGGGTGTCACTCATTTTCATTGGGGGCCACATCAACCTCGCAGTTGTCTACAAAGGGCCGAATGTAATTTCAACTCCTTAACAGTTAAGAAATAGTTACATTTATACAGTCCTGAAATTATTTTGGCCCTTTAAAGGCAAGCATGAGGCTGATGTGGCCCCCGGTGAAAATGAGTTTGACACCCCTGATTTAGATCAATGATCTACTTGAGTTACATTTTGTAAAAGGCATGAGGGGTATGCTGTGGTTCATTTTCTCTCTGTATATGTATATATGATTTTATTTATTTATTTTTAGAGAGAGGGGAAGGGAGGGAGAAAGAGAGGGAGAGAAACATCAATGTGTGGTTGCCTCTTGCACGCCCCCTACTGGGTACCTGGCCCAAAACCCAGGCTGGCAGTCAATCCACTTAACCACACCAGCCAGGGCTATCAGGTGATTTTAAATAATATCCTTGTATTCTGCAACACTGATAAACTCACTAGTTCTAGTAGCCTTGCTTATAGTTAGAACCTGTGGTACTGTCAGTGTTACACAGAAATCATGAAAGTAGTCATCCTTGAATTTATCCAGATCTTAAGGGGAAAGAACTGTTTTTCACCTTTTAAATATGTTTTCTGTAGGCATTTTGTAGGGGCCTTTTTTCAAGTTCAGGAAGTTCCCTTATATCGCTAGTTTGCTGAGACTTTTTATTGTGAATTGGATTTTGTTAAATACCTTTCCTGCATCTATAAAAAGAATAATACTGCCCTGGCTGGGTGGTTCAGTTGATTGGAGCATCATCCCATACACCAAAATGTTGTGGGTTCAATCCTGGATCAGGGCACATACCAAGGTTTTGGCTTTGATCTCCCATTGGGGCACGTATTGGAGGCAACCCATAGATGTTTCTCTCATATCAGTGTTTCTCTCATTCTCTCCCTAAAATCAATAACATATCTTCAGGTGAGGATTTTAAAAAATATGCGTTTTATTCTTTGTCTGTTACTATGGTGAATTCTGATAGATTTTTGCATGTTGAGCCAGTCTTGAACTTCTGGGTTAAGCTTCACTGGATTGTATTGGGTTGGCCAAAAAGTTCATTTAGATTTGTCCGTACGATGGCTCCAGTACTGCTTAGTTGTCTTTAGCTTCATTCAGAACAATTTTGATAGATTGTATTGCGACAGCTGTCATATCAGTGTGCATTTAAAAAAAGTTATCAAAATTGGTGAATTTTTGTGTAGCCATTTTAATATTGAAGATGGGAGAAAATACACAACATTTTTGTCAAATTATGTTTCATTATTTCAACAAAGGTAAAAATGCAACTGAAATGCAAAAAAAAAATTATTTGTGCAGTGTAGGGAGAAGGTGCTCAAATGTTAAAAGTGGTTTATGAAGTTTCTTGGTACTGATGATATTTCGGTCAAATAATTCTTTGCTGTGGGGTGTCTTATGCATAGGAAGATATTTAACAGCACCCCTGGCCTCTACTCACTAGATACCAATAGTGGGAGATAGCCCGCATACTCAAAATATTGAAATCAATAAAATTATTGGTAAAAATGAAAGATGTATGTTTTATTTTATGGAAAAAAACTAAACAGACTTTTTGGCCACCCCAATAATATATTATCCTTTGTATATACTACTGTGTTTAATTTGTTAATATTTTGCTGATAATATTTTTCTCTTTGGTATATT